GCTTGCTAGCAGGGGAAAAGAAGACCTTTCTCACACCAGTTATTGGACAAGGAACCAAAGGACTAAGGTAATCAAAAATATCCCTGCTGAGGCACATGGTGGACCGCTCCCAATACTGCTGATTGGCAGACCCACTGCAGACTAAAGCAAAAGGAAGGGACTGGGAAGGAGATCTGGAGTGGGCCAGGGGGTACCGCAGTTAGAGGACACCAATTTCCTTAGTAAAAAATCACATCAAAATTTCTGCAAAGAAATGATTCATGAAACCCAAATTCCTTCTTCAGCTTCAATGGTGTCTTTGTGTGTGTAGGAATAATAGCATCTGTCCTACTGGCAATAAAAACCCTGTTGCCCTTCTTGACCCATATAGCCATCTGAGGTGAGCATTTGCATTTGTATTCTCTGGAAATAACCTAGTGAGACTCTGGAAGGGAAAAAAAAAAAAAATCAACAACAACTATAAAAAACAAAACTGCACAGAGAGTGTATTTGATTGTGTGCCCCCAAACCAGGTCAGATTTTCTTCATTTAGAAGACAGATTAAGTACTCCATTTCCAGCAAGCGAGAGTGTTGGAGCAGCACACACCTGAAAGAGGGGATCTCCCGCCTCCTGCCATCCTTGTTATCTAAGGGTGACAGGTTCACATTCCAGCAGCTTCTGTATCACTCAGAAACTTACTTAAAATGAAGAATCTTGGCCTGTCCTGTGTCCTGTTCTGATTCCTAAGTGATTTCCAGGCACACTGAGGTTTAAGAAGCACTATCCAAACTCCCTAAACAGTTACCACCTGAAAACATTCATATCACATGTCCATTGACTGATCTCACTACCTCTGCCAGCAGCTGTTTTTATTAGCCTATCCAGAAGCTCTTGTCAAAAATCCTCCCCAAAATAAAGTTTACTGGTTATTAAATTCTCATAAGTCCTCCAGCAGTGCAGATGGGGTGGACTTCTAGGCGTCTCCCTCTAAATTAGCTGATGCTACTTGTATTCACCTGGTCTCATCGTTCTCCAAGTGAACAAAAACCTGATTTTACAGGCCAGTGGAGCAGAGTCTCTCTTTGGCTAGAAGAATGAGTCTCAAAGAGTGTGTTTTATTTCTTCATTAGTGTGCCGTCACAGTGAGCGATCACTAAATGCAGGGCTGCATGAGAATCCCAGGGTTAAAGACAGCGTAATGAACAAAGAAGGCGCCTGATTATCATGGCTGTCAGCACGAGGGAATTGGGTTTGTCACCTGGCTTAACCAACTGGTAAGAACTGATTAGAGGCTGGAATCAGTTTGAAAGGATCCCTGATGTTTATGTTCCTTTCCATCCCCACATCTTGTCAAAAGAATCCGATAAAGCTGGGAGTGGGGAGGATTATTCTGGGGGTTATCTGAACAAGAGGTTCTTTGAGAAACTCCCACTGTGTTCTCTATTGAAATGTCCACTACAGTGCTGTCCAATGGGACTTTCTGCAAGGACAGAAACTTTCTGTCCACTACTATTGTCAGTACCCCATGTGACTACTGAGCCCTTGAAATGTGACAAGCATGAATGAGCAACTGTATTTTAAATTTAATCATAATGACTTCAAATTTGGAAAGCTGCATGACCTAGTGGCTACTGTATTGGGCAATGATAGTCCACTATATTCAACAGGAAGGAAGAGATCTAATGGGAGAGCCATAGGCTAGGAATTGGATTTTAATTCTTCTGCCTAACTTAGTAAATGTTATTATATCTAGGAGCAAAGAATGGTCATCTCCCTGACTGTACCTTTCTCAAAGGAGATCTCAAGAGACTTACATAGTTAATGTTATAAATTTAAAAAGTAATAACTTTAAAAGTCAAGTCTGTAGAAAAGTGGTTTGAACTTCAACTGTACAATGGAATTGATGACTATCTTTTGAAAATATTGATGCTTGAGTCCCATTCCAGTGAGCCAGGGGTACAATGTGGTCATCAGAAAATCTCATTGTATAGTCAGAAGGAAATCACTGATAAGACATAATGATAACCTGCTGGGGAGGTGGTCTGGGGGAGGAAATGAACTTTCAGGGAAGAAAGAGGAGGAGAACAAACATTTATTAGCTCCTCACCATGTGCCAGACCTTTGCAAATATGTTCTTAGCTACTTTTTAACACAACCACAGGCATAGAAGTGAGAATCCACTTTACAGGCAGAGTAAGGACTTGGAGAGATTAAACACCCTCTCAGTGTCACCAACTTGGTTAGTGGTTAAAGCCAAGGCTGTCTGCCTGGTACGACTAGTGGAACCATCTGCATTGAGTTTCCGCTTCACTGAGGGGCTGGGTGCCGAGTCAGCAGGATTCAGTCACAATTAGGACAATGCCTGTGATCTTGCAGCAGAGAGGAGGAGGAGTTCCATGTGCAGGAGGGCAAGGACCACCTGTGGCTTTGGTGTCCCCATGGGTCTTCTATCCATGACTCAAAAACCCACTGCCCTTGCTCCCTTTACCTTGTCAAAAACCATCTCAGAAAAACACAAAAAATTACTTTCATTTTTCAAGTTTTTGTTTCATACGTATGTTAAAATCAATTTTTTTTATTCATCTATAATATCAGGATAAAGCTAATTAATTCATTTCCACAGACATAAAATTCTAAGGGCTCCTCTGCCTTGTCATTATTACACATATGGCCAGCAGCCCAGTATCACAGACACATGGCAACCTTGGGAGGGTCCCTAAACTCCCAAGGAGCAGGGTACAGAGGAATTCAGTAATGGTCACATGGCTCCCTATAGTGCTGGACAACAGGTTAGAATCAGGAGATGGCCAGGCCGCATGGTCCAAGGTGAGACTCCTGACATTTGCGACACAATCCAACTCAACCTGGAGAAGCTTTTCCAATGGAGAGGGGGCCTGCCTGATGCAAATAAATGGCCATGATCACGATGTCAGCCCCCAATAGTTCCCCTCTATTGTGCTCGAAACTCCCACTAGAGAATTGTTGGTAGTGTGTGTGGAGAGAGGCAGGAAGTTTATGATTAAATGAATCACACAAACTTGAACACATCACAGAAATATTTCAATTGGGAAAGACAAAGCCAGGACTTGAACAGAGCAAACAAAAGCAGCCATCCAGAAGGAACGAGGGGAAAGAAGGCCAAGAAATCCTTGTCGGCTTAGGTTACACCCAAGGCTGACCTCACCTCTAGAAGTTTATGCTTGACCTGGGAGAAGGTGCAAGAAAACCTCCCAGGAACTAGAAACTATGTGAGTCTTCAGATTGTGTGCCTTTGATACCACAGTGGGGTGTGGTCTGGGGAATGCTTTTGATCACCTCTGAACTGGAAGCTGCCTTATCTATAAAATAAAGATAACACCTACCTTATGGACTCCCTACAACTGAACCAGGTAATAAACTTTTTTGAAAGTCCCTCATATATTAACTAACTGTGTATGATTTTTAAGTTGTCATCATCATCATCATTAGTAGTAGTATTGTTTCTTGTTATGAAACCCTGCAGAGGTTATGGAAATATCAGCCCAAACTTGGGATGGACCAGAAATCTCTCTCCCCACTTCTTTCAAAGGTGATATACCTGGTCATGACAGACAACGGCCCCCGTGGCAGCCCAAACTACTTAAAGGCCAGGAAGAGCTTCTATTCTCAGGTGATGCTGGTCCTGGGCCAGCCAAGATGGGATTTATAGTTGTTAAGGAACATAATAAGAATAATTATAATTACAGTAAAAGCCAAAATATATCAGCAGCATCATTTTATGCATTTTACATAACATAAGCAGTATGAGGCTGTGAAATACCAACAGGCACGAAAGGACACGGAGGCTGTGCACCCCTAATCCAGAAAATGCAAATCCAAAATGTTCTCAATTCAGATATTTTGAGTGCAGACATGACACAATAAGAGAAATATTCCACACCTGACTTGTGATGGGGGCCAGTTAAAATATTGATGCCCTGAAAATATTGTACAAAATCCTTCAGGCTACGCGTAACAGCTGTATATGAAACATAACCACATTTGATGTTTAGATATGGGTTTTTTAAAATATCTTATTAGCTGTATGCAAATTTTTCAAATACCCCTCCCCACAAAAAAAATATCCTAAATTTAAAACATTTCTGGTCCCAAGCATTTTGGAAAAGGGAAACTCAATTTGTACTATTATTAACACATTCTACAGATGAACGAACTGAAGCTGACCAGTTACCCAGCTACTAAAGAGTGTGTCAGAAAACAAACGCAAACCCTGGGGACTTTGCACTAAACCACTACATCCCCAGAAACAGACTTCATTAACAAACCCAGGAAGTGAAATGCTGGGCTCTTCACTCCTGTCCTGGTCCAGGTCACAGCCACTGCAGGATCCATGAAGCCCAGAGTGTGCATGAAAGGAAGAGCAACACCTGGGAACACTTTCCAAATAAGATGTGAGAAGAGCTCTCTCTACTGCCCTTCACACCAGGCTTCTCAGCTCCATCCATTCATTAGCCCAACATTTATTAAGTGACTATCATTAAAGAAGCATTTATTAGGATCCAGAACTAAGTGTTATGAACACAAAACTATGAGGAAAGACAGAAGAGGTGTAATGGCAGCTACAGCAATGACCTCAGACACACTGAGCTGTCTCTTTGCACACTGAAACCACATTCTCAAACCCTGCTCTCTACCTGTTTCTCCCACAGCTGTAAGCTTTGCGCAGTGCTCTATGCAATGGTAAAGCCATTTGTAAATTCCAGTCTCAGCTCTAATTACACTGTCAGACAGCCCCTGAACACTCAATCTCTGTTCCACAAAGCAGTCTGCTGGCAGCTGCGTATTTTGAAGGCAAGCAGAAACGGTGAAAAAGATTCTTTCTTTTCATGAGCATTTTCCCTGCTATGATTGAGAAGAGATACATGCTTGATCTAATTTGCCCCCTGCATGGCTATCCTGGGAGAAGACCTGGCAGTGCCCTGCTAGGTGGTAATGAAAGCTGTTGGCATCACAGGAATGGGAGACAAGCAAACAACTTACGGGTGCAGGGCATAGAGGCAGCATCATTGTCAGCTCGGAAAAAATCTCGGTCACAGGTGCACGAGGTGGCGCCTTCCCAGACAGAGTAGCTGTGGGGTGGACACTTGGCACAGGTGGCATCCGTGGAGAGAGCCTTGTAATATCCAATTTTGCAAGCTGCAGGGAAGGAGAAAAGAACAAGAGAACAAATATAAACCACTGCAAATACAGCAAAGCAAAATGTGAAGCCACTTCCTTAGCTCAGAGGAAGGAAGATGTTTATGCTAATTACTGATGATCAGCTATGGCTTAAGATACAGGTATAGTCGCCCAGCCATTAATTGATTACAGCCACCCTTTAAGGGTCCTTTACATTCTTGGTTAGGTGGCAAGAGGCCCCCTAGGAGATATTTGCTTAAAATTGGTGGTACCCACTAAAAGCAAAGCCTAAGTTTGCTGAATGCCTTTCCATGTGCCAGGTACCCTGTATCTGCACTCTCTTGTTTAATTCTTATAACACTCTCTTTCCATAAACACTATTATTATCTTTACCTTAGAAATTCCTGCTGAGAGCAGGTAATTACTGGTATGAGACGAAGTGTCTGGTAAGTGTCAGTAACCAGGTTTGACCCTGGGTGTTCTGCCCCCAAAGCCACCCACTCTGGGATCTGAGAGCATGGTCTTTAACCAACCAGTTGAAAGTATGTCTAAATGGTAGCAAAGAGGTGGTGTGTGATTATTTCCTATTATAGCTAAAGAGAGTACCATAGCACACAACCAAGAAAAGCAATCATTCATATATATATAAATGTTTTGTAAGGCATGTGTCATGATTTCAGGGCAAAATAATAAAAACTACTAACTGTAGATCCTGGAATATAATGTGGTGGTTTTTTGTTGTTTGTTTGTTTTTAGATCAGCAAATATTTTTTGTTTATTTCAAGTTAATGAAACCCTCCTGTTTTTTCTTCCTCTATATTCAGCACCCTCACCCTCAAGAGTCTGGTACAGAGAACAAGAGTGGTACAATTCTTTATGCACCTGAGATGTTTTCCATGACTTCATTTTTATAAACACCAGACTGACACTGAGAACTACTTTTCCTAATGTGGAAAAATTCAACAATGCTGCAAAACCTCATAATAAAAAAAAAAAATAGTTAATAAGGCCCTGCTTCCCTAATTTCCCACTCTATGTTATTCATGATCTGTTCCAACATGAAATTAAAACTGACCAATACTATCAGTATTAAACTCACAGAGGCAAGGTCATTAAAAATAAAGTTTTCCCAGCCAGGTGTGGTTGTGTACCCCTGTAATTCCAGCAACTTGAGAGGCTGAGGCAGGAGAATCCCAGGTTCAAGGCCAGCCTTGGCAACTCTCAAAGTAAAATAAATAAAAAGGGCTGAAGATGCAGCTCAATGGTAACGGACCCCCAATCTCCCACCACCAGGTTCAATCTTCAGTACCAAAATAAATAAATAAAATTATTCCATAACATCAAAGGTGTATTTTTTCTTCTTCTTTTTTATTTATTTGTTCTAATTAGTTACACATGACAGCAGAATGTTCTTCGGTTTCATTGTACACAAATGGAGCACAATTCAAAGGTCTATTTTAAAAAGTGAGATGCCTACAATCTTCCCAGCATGATCCAATCTCAGTCCTCTCCATTTAATACATCCCCAGGTTGTATCCATACTGTCAAAAACACCAGCTGGGAGAAGAACCTATGGGGACATTTTCCATCAGCCTGACCATCAAGAAACTAACCAATGCTAGCAACCCAGCAGATCTTTCTGGAAGGAGATCTAAGGGACCTGCAAAGATACTTGATTCTATGTGGCTGTGATCCCCTGCCAGCCCTATGCATGAAGCATCTTGCAGACTCCGCGGAAGCCTGCTCCTTTCTTGCGTGTCCTCTGACATTTTCTGCCTCACATGCTCATCACACAAGCGGAAAGGGAGTTTAGTGGGAGCTCAGAAATGCACACAGTTACTTCACTCTTATTAACTGAAGTTGTTTATGGAATTTCCTTTAACGAGCTCAAACTTTATGACGTGTGCAGCACCAACAATAAAAGCGCTCAGAGATCAATCTCTCCCTTATTTGCTTTCGTCCTTCACTGGACCGAAGCATCTTAGAAAAACAAGCTGCTCCAGTGACTGAGATTTATGTGTCTCAAGTTTACACACATCGCATAATTAGATAAGGTTCACCTTGCAAGGGGCTGTTTGGTCAACCTAAGATGGCCCTAGGGTTTCCATTAAAATCAGAAACCCAGGTTTGGTAGGAAGAAGCACTGGGGCTCAGGCCGGGCCATATCAACACAAAGAGCCCAAACTCCCTGGGTCCCACCTTTCATCAGCGGGTCACAGTCAATAAAAACAACTGGAGGTAACTTGTTCAGAACTGCCAAGAAGGCACACATTATGTCTTTTTTGTTTTTTCCCAAGAATATCTGCTGTTCCTGACTGATTCTCATGTGCTTTTGATTTCATCCACAATCAAAATCTAAAATTGAATAGGGGGAGTAGAAGATGAATAATAATGAAAATTAACCAATGACTGGTCAATGTGACACAAAAAACAGCACTTGTTTTGGTTGGGGGATTGGGGATTGAATCCAGCAGTGTCTCACCACTAAGCCACTCCCCCATCCCCCTTTGTGATTTTTTTTTTTTTTTTTTTAATGACAGGGTCTGGTCAAGTTGCCCAGGCTGGCCTCAAACTTGAGAACCTCCTGCCTCAGCCTCCAGAGCCGCTGGGGTGACAGGTGTGTGCCATTGTGTCCCACTGAAAACAGTACCTCTAAAAAATCTCATGGGGTCACTGCTATTTCTTCAACTTACGTAGGTAGTTCTTAAAAGACTATTAGTTTAAAAAATTAAACTCCAGAGTTCACAAACATCAGATTGGAAGATGTTTCTTTCAATTTGTTAAAGTCCCCAAATTCAGTATTTTAGGTGAATTTAAGGAAAAAATGAACTTGAAAGCTTATATTTTCTTCTAAGCTGATACTAATATGTTACCAAGAATAAAAATACGAGAATTCATTGGGGAAATACACAGCTTCATACCAATTTGGAGAATTGAAAGCTGCGGTTTTTTTTTTTTTTTTTTAACATGTGGAGTATTTTTAACTTTTTCCTGTTTTACAAGCACAAGCAGAAAATATAAAATTGTCATTGTACTATTCTCGGCAGCTCTTGCTACCCTTAACACATTCTTTTGTCTTCAACTACATTAAGACCATGTTATTAATATTTCAGGATTCTTAGAAAGGCGCTCTCAAAATACAGCAGTGGCTATCCACACAAACAAACATTTGGCAGCTTAACGTTCAAAACAACCTACCAAATAGATGGTTCCCCTACATTTCTCTGCTGTGTGGTTGACGGCCTTCCAGTATTTGATGCATGAATGTGTGAAGTCCATTCTACATTTTTCTTATTCAACACTCGCTAGCATCTGAAAATATTCACTGTCTCCTTCACTCCTTCATTCTGAACAAAACCCCTGTAAGAGATTCCCTTGGCATAGCAGGCACTGATGTGTGTTAGTTTTTCCCATCATTCTCTCCTGGTTGAGAACTGCTATCCTGCATTTTTTTTTTTTTTTTTTTTTTGAATGCTACTGACTTTTTAATCAAGTCCAAAGTGCTTCCTCAAGAAACATCTTCCTCCTGCCCTCTTCCCAGTGAGGCTGCAGCAGGCAGGGAAGGGGTACCTGAGAATAGTCTCCTTACTTGGCCTTCTGACTTCCATTATGGGAAGATAGTTCACATCAGCAAAACAAAACTTGCACCCAGTTCCTTTAGCTTTGTCTTGATTACTGCTTTCTGTTGACATGACATGAAGGAAGAAGATGGAGGAAAAGGAGGAGGAAGAAAGGCTATGTTCTTTCATCAGCTCACCAACTACCACAACAAGGTTAATTTTAAAATTCATCAGGATATTCTCTTTGTAGAATATTGAGTTGCAGTTACCTTTTGTTAGATGCAAAAATGTTTTTCAAGCTAATACAACATCTGCTAGATATATTTTGGTGCACAGACACGAATGCATGGAGATGTAATGCCCAATTTCATAGCTGTTATAGCTATTCTTCTATACATGTCCTACATAGATGGTCAGTCTTGTTTTTTTCTTTCCAAGAAACATAGAAAGAAAATATAGAACCTTATTGTCTTTACAGCTCATTTTAAACTAAACTAGCTTTAAAAAATAGCTATGTGTGTCATAGCACGTGTGGTTTCAAATATCAAGCAATTGAGTACTGTATTAACATGTATTACATTGTTTCATTTAATTGTCAAAATAACCCCATGAGCTTGTGGCACTAACACTAGTCCCATTTTGCAGATGAAGGAACAGGCAGTTTTAGGTAGGCTTCAGGATCATACCAATTAGCAGTAAAGTCAAACATCTATCTAACTCCAGCGCTTATGTTTTTCTGAGTTTTCATGTACTGTAGTTACCTAGTATGAGGATTGATCTTTAATAAAAATGTGACTTGGATATCAATGATGGGGTGGGGAAGTGAGTTAGTCTCAACTTCCATTTGCCCCCAAGTCCAACTCATTGCTGGCTGCATGGACCACACTTTGTTAACTGTGATCCACTACCTACATCACAAAGACTTGGGGAAGTTACTAAAACCAGGCTCCAATCCAAGTTTAGGATTGTCTGGTGGGGCATAAGAATCTTCTTTTCTTACAAACTCAGAGGCCAGTGAAAATCCTGCTGGTCCAGGGACCACACTTTGAAAACCATTGCCTGGCAGAAAACAGATCTACCTCCAAGAAAAATGTCAAAGTGTTGTTCATATCAGATAAGCTCAAACCACTTCACTCCTCTTTCTCAATATCCAAATGCTACTGGGTCAAATGATTGTCAGAAGAAAAATAGTCTTGGTGTGGGGAAATGGCATGTCAGAAATGTGATAGCTTTAAAATATAAAGAATAAGGAACATCCTTATAGAACTTAAATTGTTCTTCAAGCAAAGATAAATATGCCCTGTAATGTCCCCAGTGTGAATAGAACAGAACTTGGGGTAGAATAGCCTTGTAAAAATGAACTGCTCTAAAAGAAGGAAAAAACACAAAATTTATACCCAGTTATGCTAAAGGTCACATTTTAGAATTCAAAGTCGCCCATCCCCATCCCAGTGTTCC